TCAAGAGGATGAGGCCAGCCTCTTCTCCGTGGTGCCCAGCAACAGGACAAGAGGCAATGGGCACAAACTGAACCACAGGAAGTTCCATCTGAACCTGAGAGGGTGACAGAGCATTGGAACAGGTTGCCCAGAGAGGTGGTGGAGTCTCCTTCGCTGGAGATATTCAAAACCCATCTGGATGTGATCCTGGGCAATATACTCTAGGTGACCCTGCTTGAACAGGGAGGTTGGACTAGATGATCTCCAGAGGTCCCTTCCAACCTAAATGATTCTGTGATTCTGTGATTTAAGATTCATCTAGTCACTGATTATAATGAGGAGTTAAAAATTCTTATTTACCTGTCCTTTGAATTATACCCACAAATCTATCAATGCATTATGCTTATTGATATTTTAATAATTTAATAATGCATTTTTACCTTCTTGATTTAACTTGATCTTCTTTCTGTTCTAAGCCAATAATATCTAACAATGGAATTCTAGTAAAATCATGACTGCCATCTGTTGGGATTTTTCCTTCCATTGCCCTATAATAGTCATGAAGGAGTCTCTTTGTATCCTGGAAACGATCCACTTCAACCTCAAGAAGAAAAGATAGACAGATTGATATTAAAAACAGGACAGAACAAAACATTTTCTGTTACATTTTTAAATATGTGATAGCAAAACTAACTCTAAATCATAAAACTCTTTGAGAGGGAATAACAAACATTTGTTTGAGTATTTATACTGTATTTAATGCATACTTCAACTTGCATTAATAATATCTTTCAAATTTGCATTCTCAATTTTCAATCAGGCATTTCTAAGGGTTAATAAAAATCTTAGTTGTAAAAACAGGGAAAATGCCTTACAATAAATACTGTTTGATACATTCAATTTAAGTACAATATATTTTGATGTATATATTTTTCTATACTAGTAAGTCTACCACTATCCCCAAATTACAGCAATCTTTTTGTTCAAAATAAATAAAAAATTTTTGCAATCCAAATTAAAATATGCTAAGTGATTGATGGAGAAAAAAGTTTAAAAAGCAATACAGTTTCTCTGGACCGAAGAATTCAACACACATTACATACCTAAATTTGTGTGACTCCTCTTAGGAGAAATCAAGTAAGATTTAAAAAACATTTAACACCTGTCATGTTTTGATTTATTGATACAGTAGGGTGTTAGCTTCTAACTGACAAAACAGTACTAAATATTCATGGGAAAATGCACAAAACCACATTCACAAAACAAAGGATAAAACGGTGTGGTGTAAAACAGCGCTTACCCATAAGTTATGGAGAAACCAACTTTTAGTATGACAGTGTACACAAAGAAAGGTGGAAAGAAATCTGATATACCCTTGCTAAGGTTAAGACCTTGTTAAACAGAATCTGCACAAATATATGTGTTTATACAGTAACAGAGGCACCTGCAGAACATACATAACTTTCCACAGAAAAACCCACAGAAGGAGAGCTTAAGACCAGAGAACCAGCTATTTTTTGGCTGTGTCTTAAACAAAGCCATAATATGAAGGTGTAGTAATATTTTTATTTTTGTAGATTTAAGCATTAATAATTCATTTATTTGGGGGAATATATATTAAAGTAAGTTAAAAAAATTGCTTTGCCTTTTTTTTTTTTTTTTAAGGAAAAAGCATACACATTACATATGATTAACATATGTTTGTAATTTTAATCAGCTATTCTCTTTATCCACAAAAGATGGGTGAAACTAGATTCATAAGGAACAATTTAGGCCCAGTAATATTACTTTAAGTTCACTCCTTTATGCATTATGTTGCTTGGTTAGTCAGCAGTTATTTTATATTTAGACCTCTTTATTTAGTCAGTGACCTTAGTCTTTATTTAGGGCATTATTTAGACTCTTTGAAAATAGAATTAATAATTTCCTCAATATAGCAACTGAATACTTCACAAACACTGCTTAAATTATTGCAACATTCATGTGAGATTAGAGAGTGATTCCCCCATTTAATAAGTATGTAAAATAACACAGAGAATGAGGGTCAGGCAGACCAAATTAAGCTGCTTAGGCCAGATTTTTCAGCCAAGTTAGCATAACATGGCATTTCACGTTTTTAAAGCACAGTTTTCATTATCTTCTTTAGAGTTGCCAAACCAGTCATTTAGTGCACAAAAAAGCTTTTCTGTTCCATTTCAAAGCCCTGACATTGATCCCAGCTGAAGCACCTAGAAAAGCAATCACAGGAAAATCTTTCTTTAATTCATGAACTGAAGTAACCCAAGGCCTAGCTGAATGAGAGGAAAGACTGAATGTGGGGAAGGGGAGGACCAGCTAAGTGAAGATAGATTTCTGAAAGCTTTCAAGCTAAACATCTGAAAGCTGTGTCAAATTTTAAGAGATTTTCTTAAGCACAACACTTCACTTTCTTCAAAACCATTCCTTACAGATTTTCAGATCAGTCTGTAAGTAAAATTTCGAGCTACATTAGTGAAGTTGTAACTGAAATAATTTCTTGTTATGGGAAATACAGAACAACCTCAATAGCAAGTGGGCCTACAACAGCAGTGAATTACATAATTTGACCAAATTAAGAGCAGATGTCAACCTAATCATAGAAGGATAAACAGATCTGACATTTTTGTTAGAAAATAACATGAATGATTCACTAGACTGATAAACTCTTAGCCAAAAGTAACACTATTACAGACTGAAAGTTCGAGGGTTTTGGACAATAACAATGGTATTTTTCTTAATCTTTTGTGTCACAAAATGGTTAAATATATGGAATGTTATTTTCTTTTCGTCTCTAACCATCTAGTTTAATTGAGAAGAGGCACGGACATCTGCTTATCTAATTCTTGATCCCTCACTTATTCAGAGCCAACCATATGAAACTCCTCTGAGGATTATAGTCCTCCAAATCTAATTCTTTATCTCCTTCCATTGCAGACTGAGTAGTAGAGCTCCACACCATACCTGCATAAGAGAAAAAAAATGGTTCATTGCAATCCCCTTATGATCTGGTAACCAGCCATCATTCATGATATCAGTACGTTCCTGGTCAGCTTCTTCCCTTCTGTTATCACAGATATCCCAGAGACGATTTCTCAGGTCCTAAATCACAAAATCACATATGAGAAATAACTATGATGGAAAAGCATCTTTTTTATATTTATTATTTTAAATTATATTTGTGCTTGTGGTTAAGGAATCTTCCCATTTAGGGTTTTTTCCCTATTACTATAAAAGTCAAAGCCTAGTCAAAGAGTTATGTGTTATGTGCTTATAGAGACCTTACAGAAAGTAGCTTTACAAATGTACCAGACATAAGGATCCAAACGTATGAGATGAATCTGCGGGAAGAAGACCATACTAGATTGCCTTGCTTTGTCCCAGCAGAGAGACTTATCTAAGCTAGACAAAGAAGTGAGAATACAAACAGCTACACTCCCAATACTACCAAAAACTTTCAGCTTGAATGGTTTGCTAGCTGAGGCAATTACAAGAAGAATACTCTAAGGGGACTTACAATATGATAATCCTGAGGAAATTATGCCAGCCTTTAAATATTCTTCTGATTTGCATAGCTCCTTTTCATTTTCCTTTAATGGGGGGGGATTCTTTGTAACTAAGGCTTTTCAACTAGTGACTATATCTAACAGCAACATTATGTAGCTCACTAACAGCACGGGAGACCTATTAAGCATACAACATGTATGCAAACCCTCTGCTCCCCATCAATATCTCTGCGTGAAAATGGCATGGCAGACCTGTATGTCTCAAGATAGGAAGACTGGAGAGCTGTTATACAGAGAGCCAAGGTAGGCTAAGGTAAGTTCTGAATACCATAAAATGTAAAGACAAAGAAGGTAGAGAAATATTTACTCTATGACATGCTAGAATACTATAGTATAATCTAAAAAAAGAAGCAAAACTTAATAAAGATAAAGCCAAAAACCAAAGGAATTATTGTGAATTATCTCTTTATGTACAAGGGGAACTGAAATAGTTTCAGAGGAGTGGTAAAAAAACAAAAAATTTAAATAATAATATCACTTATTATACAAATTTGATATACAGCCAGATAATATTTAGGATGCATTATAACTTTTGCCACTTATTTACAGTAACTCTTTGGTGTAGTTCTGCTTTTGTTTCCTCATCTTCCCGCAGGTCATCAGCAATTGAATTAAAATCTGACTGCCACTGAGATACAAACTCCTGCTTAAGATCTGGACACTTCAGATAATCCTGGAAAGTTTTTCTGTGAATTGTGATAAAAACAATTTTAGTGTTAAAAGACATATAGAATGTCAGAGGAAACATTGAAAATATGAATATTAAAGTAGTAAGCTACTATTTCTACTCACCTAATGTCTGCTAAGTAATAAACCACAGAGTGCTGTTCATCCCTTAGGCATCTAAGTACAGTTTTGATGGTATTCACATATGCATTTTCTACCATTTCCCAATAAGGTACTAAAAAATCAGGTATCTCCTGTGAATTATTTTTAAAAACACCAAAATTAATTGATGTATTTCTTGGTAATCATTATCTGTATCATTAGCAAATATAAGAAATATTATTTCAGGAAATCACGTTACTTATTGATTTCTTTCTCTATCTATTTCTTTTGACCTATTTACAACTGATTATGTATACTGTACCAATATATAATGCATTTCTTTAGAAGAGAGTGGCAGTATTCACAATGAATGGGAAGTCCCAGTGGAATTCTGTTGATATCTATATTTTTTAATATAAATGAAGTGAAGAAGGATGAGTATTTAGGTAACAAAGTTTGGTGGTACAAAATTGTTCAAGATGGTAAAAATAAAAGCTGACTGTTGAGTGTTGCAAAAGTGACTGACTGAATGTCATGAAATGCAAAAGAAAGCCTATGGCCAGAGGGAACCCAACATACTGAGTTATGAGCTTCAGCTACTCAGAACTTACAGAACATGCAAGCTAACTGCACTCATAAAGGCAAAATTGGTAAATGTTAGGAATGGAATTACAGAACAAAAACCAAAACACCATTGTGCTCTCTTCAAATCCACTCTCAAACACTGCATGCAGTCCCAGCTCCCCATCTCAAAAAATTTATAGTAGAACTAGAACATACAGACAGAAGGCAACAATCATGATCCAATGTATTTAGCTGCTTCCACATGAGGACAGTTTACCAGATTATGACTGGATTGGAAAAGCAACACTAAGAGGGCATGAAGAAGGGAGATGTGATAAATGTCTGTAACATCTTAAGTACCTTCAGAGAGTGAATAAAGAATTACTATTCATTGTATCTCACAATACAAAAACTAGAGTGATCCAATGACCCTATCAGACAACAAGTTTAAAGCAAAGAAAGAAAAGTAATTTTTCAGAAAGGGTATAATTATACAGGACATATCATGGAGACCAAAATGTAAATTCCTTCAAAAAAACAACTAGATAAAATCACGGAAGAAAAGTGTATGCAGAGCTACTAAACACAAAGACGCAGATATAAAATCATCTGAGGAAACACCTAAACTTCAGATTAGATTACTGGAACCTAGAGACGTGTCCTGTGGAAAGCATATTAGAGAAGAGTAACCTAGGACAAAAACCAATGTACACTTACCCTGTTCTTACATTCTTTCCCCAAGTATCCACAACTGGCCATTGTCAGAGACAGGAAACAGGGTAAATGGGCTTATGTCCTAGTAAATCTAGGTTTATATTTCATAATATTAAAAAGTCTTATTATTTTGGTATCCACATACTATTCTTCACCATCATGGTGAGGAATTTACCCAAAACCAAAGGCGAGCATTTTAAACAGAGTCTGCTTGTCTGAGGCATAACATTCTAGTAGCAGCTGCTATTTGTATTTTTGGATATTTGTAATACAGTACTAGTGTCTCTTTCAACTTTTATTTATTGGAAATATTGAAGAAAATATTTTGTAATGACACAAAAAGTTTAGGTAGAATATGTTATAAAATATTGAGAAAAATTCATACTCTAATTTCTAATCATGAATGAATGTACCTTGGGAAGTGGTTCATCTACATACTCCCACTCATCTGATCCTGGTTTAATTAGCGGTGGTCTCGCAGAAATAGGAGGAGGTAGATCTTCAGATGTAGCCTGTGAAGGCATTTTTCCCGGTGATTTTTCTTCAGCAGAGCCTTGTATATGTATGTATAATTAGTACCTTCAAATGTATTTTAAATGTAAAAAAACAGAAGTATACATCTATGCTCCTCTGACAAGCTCAAAATAACCGAACAGATTCAACATTTCATTATATGTGTATTGTTCATTAAAAAATATATTGATCAAATCAGTGATGCTACAGTTATAAAATCACTTCTCACTTAAGCTTGTATTTTGCAGTTTGTTATTTTTCTAAAGCCATCACTATAAGAGAAGCAGGAAGACAATGAATGGTTATGTATAAATATGAAGCAGATTATTTACCAGGCAAATCAAGGTCAATGGTACTGATATAATTCTGATATTCATTACAACTATCATAATTTCAGGGACTCCCTGCTTAATTAAAGATCAGATATGAGCACAGACAATTTCCATGCACCAACGGTTGGAAAAGAGTGCATCAAGAAAATCAAATACTGAAGAAACAATCAGATAAATTGACCTAGATCTGGCCTAAAATGGAAAATAAACCTTACTCTGAGTAGAAGTTGAGATGTATAAAATATGATGCATAGGATAAAAGGAAGGAGGGCAAGGAAAAAACTAATCAAAAAGAAAATGAGAGAGAAAAGATCATTTTGCAGAGAAGCAAGCAAAAAAACTAACCGTGGTAGGCCGAAAGAAAATCTGAAAAATCTATCAAGCAAACTGTCAGCAAGAAGAGATATTAAGGTGAAGCCTTCCCTGAAGCATCTAAACTGAGTCAAATGAAATAAGTCTACTTTTCAGCCCTAAATGTAAAAGACATGGTGGTCAAATTGCTTCTGTGAACATGTTCAAACTGCATGCATCTGTCTCTGGTCTGTTTCCACTTTAAGCCGTATGAGAACAATTATGTGCAACCTGCATCCATACTACTTTGGGAGAAGAATCTGTCCTAAACTCAGTTAAAGAGGAACCTAAAGTATACCAAAATAATACTGAATGTAGTTAGCCGCTCCAGAGCGTGATTCAGCCTTAGAATCTGAACTGACTTCTGGAAAGATATTAATGTCTCTTCAGTGACTATAAAAGGACCCTACAACAACTAGACTTTCAGGTTAAACATGAAGTTAAATAACTGCTTAGAAGCATGCTCGTGAATTCTAGCCAGTTTTGGTGTGAATTTAAATATATTCAAAAAAGATAAATAGCCTTGCATCAAATCACTGTTTTAAGTTTTAATCTTTTTGTCAAAAGAAGTTTAATATTTAAAGTAAAGCTATGTTTTGGTTTACTTGCTTTTAACTCTGACAGACCTACATCTGAAAAACCCTGTCTTGCTGAGTGCTTCAATACAACAACTGCATATCATAGTCCTGATGTAGGGTAATAAAAAGAACATAAACTATTGGCCAAATAAAATATCCTAAGGGTACTTCTGCTAAATATTTTGTGAACTAATCTCTGTATTTCCTTTTGCCATATCAATCCCAGAATCCTATTGATTTCTGACATTAATATATACTCTTATACCTCTGTTTTGCTCATATTAACCTAGAAGTGAAGGACAGCATGGAATCTATCAATACAAATATGAAACTAGGCATTATTAATTGACCAGAGAGATTGTTTTTCCACAGAGAGCAAGTAGTCCTTACAGTACTTCGCCAACATATCTGAAATCTAACCAGAAAATATGGACTTCATTTGCATCAGTAGGAATTTTGCCACTGACTCCCATGGGGCCATGAATTATATCAAGCACATAAAAAAAACTATTCCAGTCAGGTAGTTCTTCCAAAAACACTCCATCCAATTATCTGCCAGATGAGATACTTCAAAGAAATTTTGATAAAATGGCAGCCTTTTGCAGGAATAGTAGTCTAAATTTTTACAGTTAAGAAAGCATTTCCAATTAATTAATACTGACTGTGTTTTTTTTAAGAGGACGATACATCAAGAGTTTCTTTGAACAATCGCCAACATAAAACCTGGCGATTCAAATGTTTAGTTAACATGGTTTATTCGATGCACCTTTTCCATAGGACACCTAATCATTTTTCCCTTTTTATTTTTGGATGATTCTGCCCTTTTGGGTCATTAAGAGGAAAAATGCAATATTGACACAGCAAAACAGATATCAGTAACACTGAGTTATCCATGTTTTTAAGCTGCTGGTGATAAACTAGTATATGTTGATAATGGCAGGTTGGTCTTTCTTACACTGTTACTGTGCTGTCCCATGTGGTAAAGATGCTAGCTGTAAAATTTAAACCAGAGAAAAAGGTCTGGATTTAATAATCCTTTACTTCAGAGATTATAAATATGTCCAGTTGACTCTTTCTTTTAAATATTTTAAAATTTCTTCTCAAAATCTTTGATATTATGTGAAACTGGTCCATTTCCTTTGAAAAGGTAAAAAGGTAATAGAAAAATTTAGCGTTCCAGGGCAGTTATCCAGTAACAAATAGGCTCTCTTTTTTCTTCAAGATCATCGTTTTGTATTTCATCTACTGTAATTATTATTTCTAATGCTTTATTGCAAAACATGAAGAAAAGTGTTCCCACAAATAACACCACTCTGACTGACCAACCTCGGAATATTTCAGATTTTGTGGGGATAGTCTTCTTTCTTGGGGGAGTGATTCCATTTCTTCGTTTGTTTGTTTTTTACAATCGCCACAATTTTAACTTGTGGTAAAGGTTTAGAAAATTACTTTTTCTTTTTAGATTCTATTTTTTCTAGTTCTTTCTCTTCAAAATAATTTCAAAAAAATCACATAGAATTTAGTAAAGTTAATAGATGAATCATACTATAGCTTCCAAACCAACAGTGGAAGTAAATTATACAATATCTGTAAAAATAACAAATATTTACTTTGTACTTTTTTAATGTATTTAAATTTATTGGAATGAAACTGACTATAAAATTAATGTGCCCATTTGCATTTGACAAACTGGAGAAATGTGCTCTTTAATGTTAAATTGTAGCAGTTTGAAAAAGGAGTAACACCATTACATTTCTCCAACTTTACACCACTGAATTTCAAAGAATTTATATCTAATATGTATGGCTTATACATAATTAATTACATGTATAATAGTGAAATAAAATCAGAAAATATTAATTTCACATATTAATATATAAAGCATTACTTTTTAATTGATCCAAATCAAAATCTTACCATCTATACCATTAAAAATAATTTTCCATCGTCAAAAATGATAAAAGTATACTTATCAGAGGAAATGTATTTGCCTCTGAAAAGGTATTCTGGTCTTTGCCAAGAAAATATTCAAACAAAATTACATGACAATATTTTGCATGTGGAAAATAATTGTGTTTATATACATAAACATTTGCAAAATGAATGAAAACTATATCACTGACTCACAAATCTGCAAAATCTCTCAGGGCCAGTAAAAATGGCCAGTGTTTTCATGCAGTTTTATATATTAATTATTAGCATTAATTATAAACAACAAACAATTTTCTAACTAAGTGTAAAAAGTAGGAACTGAAAAACTTACTTCTATTCTGTCTTTTGGCCATTTCTTCCATAAGGATTTCCTTTACTGTTTTACACAGAAGACTTTCTTCTATTTCTGCATTGACTTTCACTAGAATATTCTGATGGATTGAAAACCATTTCTCTAATTTTGGCCATGTGTCTAGAAAGCCTGAAATTCTACAAAAATTATATCAATGTAGAACTTTAAAATCTAGCTACTGAAATAACTGCAGGAAAATAAAACATTTTTCCAAACCAATAAAAAAGTAAGAACACAACATCTAACCTAATATTAAAACAAATCCAGCCAACCTTCTTTTTCCAGAGTACTCCATGCACATCAACCTTTTCATTTTTAACATAGGAAAATTTCCCAAATCCTACTTTTAGAAGTAGACTTCTAAGTCTATGCTAGTGTATCTTAGTTTTCCTTGTGACAAGTTAAACCTATTATTTTCTTTTATGACAACTAACTCAATAATAATAAATAATGATAGTCTTAAATAATATATCAGCAAATAAATAATCTATAAATAAAGTTCTATCTTGAAGGATTGTTTACATTGTGCCAAGCATCAAAATACCTCTTTAAGTTCCATGTCAGAGAAACTCTTAAATACATTCTTAACAGTAGGCAGGTCACAGGTCACATGTGAGGTTCAGATTAATTATAGGCCTAAACATTTGGCTGAAGCAACTTTATCGTGCTTCATATAACATACCTATGTAGCATTTGGTCCCTGACTGAACCAATCTTCTCTTCTTGGATTCTGGCATTTGAAGTTTGATTGCTGTCCTCCTGTTCAATTTGAGCTGACTTTGATTTATCTGCTGTGTGAAACAGTATATGTGAGCATATGTTGAAAAAGGTAACTATGCAGTCTTAACTATAGGCCTTAGATAAAATAATTAAAAGAAACATTTCAGCCTTCCTTCATCTTACATTTCTTCACCTAAAAATTGGATGCCAAGCTTCCCACAAAAAGAAGAGTCAGAGAAAATCATTGAAATATAAAACAAAGCTGGGAAGAACCTGAAGAAACTGTCTTGCCTCATCCCCTGGTTAAACATCCTTTGGCAGAACCAATTATAGCACTAACATTCCTGATGGATGCTTTGCAATCTTAGAATTTTCCAGAGGCAGAGATGAGATGCTCACCTGGGTAGACTATTTCAAGCTTATCTATTATTACAATTAGAAGAGGTTTTCCCAGTCTAATCTAGTTTTTCTTGAAGAAACTCAAGCTCTTTACTCCTTTTCCCTTCAACAATGGGCAGATATTCCATTGCATCTGAAGACTGGCTATCCTCTCTCTCTGAGTCTTCTCTAGATTTTTTTAAAAACCTTAAATCGGCTAGAATTAGCCCAATTTTGTATATTTCTGATTTTTTTTTTTGTTCTTTCGACTCTTTCTGTCGCCACATTACATTTTATGAAATATATTCTCTTTGGATCCCTATGATTATATCATGTATTATCACACTTTCAAAGTGTTTTGGCAACATAAGCTCTTTATATTAGCAAGAATTTCAAGTTTATTATATATATTTTTATGTCACATTATATTAATATATAATATATATATATTTATATAATACAGTATACCATACTCTATCTATTATACTCTATTATAGATAGAGTACTATATAATATATACATTGCATAATATATACATTATATATTGTTATATATAATATATAATATACAATATATGACATATTGTGGATATAATATGCATAATATATATAATATTACATGTATTATTATATGCTTTCCATATTTTCAGTGAAAACATGTAACTTGCTACTATGTTGCAAAGTACTCACAAAAAACTTTGAGAGATTTAGTCATTTTAATATTATAATAATAATGTTAACTTTCCCCTTTTACCACAACCTGCTTGTCAGTTAAGTTCTTTAAAGGCAGTCAGAAACTCACATTTCAAATTAGCCATGCGTTTCAGTACTGTGGTATCCGATATATCCAATAATATACAAAAATCAAAGGCAGGTGAGGGGACTGATGGCTTGTTAGGGTCTCTGGGATCTGTAACCAATGAGAGTATTCCACAGTTCTCATCTTTTATGTCTGCTTTGTCTGGATCACTCCCTGAAAAGGCTTTTTCAAGTAGCTTTGCCTGATTTATTGTCATTGGGAATCCATCCACAATCCAGCCCTTCTCTGGCGGTGTTTGGCTAAATGTAAATGAAGAGCCAGAATTATACAGTGAAATCACAGCATAATAATAAGAACACCTAAAGAAGAACTTGCCCAAGCAGTCTTTCCTTCTGAATTTGGTATATTAAATATCCTGGCAAAGAACGAATATGATAGATATCATTAAAACTAAAACTGCAAAGCAACAGATTTCAAATGAGAAGATAACATGAAACATAACTACAAGTGAACAACATGGAACAATTTTTGCTGTCTTGCTGTTTTCAAAAACAATCTCTACAAACCATGATCATAGATGAACTTCACTATTTTCCTCTGCTAACATTTGCACTGAAGTAAAATCTGCTTCATAACCTTAAAGTACTAATGGGAAAAGTATAACTTTAGTTATATTCATTTGGGAACTTAAGTACTAATTGCACATCACAGCAGTTGAGACAATTTTCTGTCATGCAGGAATAGGCAAAAACAAATAACCTAACTGCCAAAGTACAGATGTTTGGATTACGTATCTCACATAAAATTTAGAGGAAAAATATTAGCACATGCTGAATAGCTTTCTACTAATGAAAGTATGGCAAAACAAAGACATCAGTTATACTTAATGACTATGTGCTAGTCACATGTGCTTTATATTTACCATCAGTGTTGTACAATAATGTTTGTATAATTTAGGGCTAGACTCTACTGCTTTAAAATGAGTATTAACCAATTTTGCTGATTAGCTCACTTTCCCAGTAGAATACCCCAGTGTTCCAATAAAAGAAATCAATAAAGAGAAATAGCTAAATTTGGAACTACAGATTGGATAATGACATTCTAAATTACCGAGAAACAAAGCTACACAATTTCATACTTAATGGCTTCCAACAGGATGGCAATTAGCAATTCATCAGGAATACTTTTTCCTTTCTTCAACAATTTCTGTGATGCAGCGCCAAGCTGGGCACGTACAGATAGCTGTGGAAGAGTGTAAAAAAAAGAACGTGAAAGACTAATGCTCAGGATGTTCACGGCACTCACTGTTAAAAAGATATAATTCTACTTTATATTCATTTATTTATTTACATATAAATGTTTATTGCATTGCATATTAAGGAGCAATAGTTTCAGCTGATGTAAAGAAGGCCTAATTTAATTGAAGCCTCAAACTGAACATTATTACACCCACAAAAATGGTAGACAGAAATGAGTTTGAGAAACAAAGGGTAGGAAGGCCAAGAAATAAAAATTAAGTCACCTGGTTCTAAGCTCATTCTAATTTTCATTGCTGTATCACAACTGACTTTTTGCTGTGTGCTAGCTTAAGAAAAGATTCAAAATTAAAGTGTTCTACGGCAGCATTTAACTTAATCAATGTTACCAGAATCGTGTAGTTTCCTAGGTTTTGAGGTATTTTTCAGTTAAGATCAATAAAGTGCAAGATCCTGTGTAGAATTAAGCACTTTTGAATGCAAAGAAAAGAAACCTTGTCATGGGAATGAAAGAGCAGTTTAGCACCAACAGGATTATAAATTTGTGTTTGTTAACTCAGAAACAACATAGAAAGTAGCAGATCTTATATAAATGTGAGTTTTAACCAGATGTTTACCTATAACTAACCAACATACACAACAGCTTTTTATAAAGAAGCTTTTTATAATAGCATTTTCATACAGAAAATGCTTGTAGTAAGGTCAGTAAATAAAATCAGAATGATAAAAGGGTATCCTTGTTCTATAGTTTAATGAGATGATTTTAACTTATGCATATTTATACAGTAGAAGTTAAAAATCAGATTACATACCTTGGATTGGTCATCCTGACAATTGTCTGATATAATTTCTTGACCAGATAGATCCTTTTTGACAGAACCATTATCTAAAATAGGTATATTATAATGTTTTACATTTTTATTACTGTAACACTAATTAATACAGAGACATAATAGAAGTACATGCCTTATTATTTTTCTCTGAACAAATTAGAATAGAAAGCTATATTCATTAGAATCATAGGATTATTGAATAATTCAGACTGGAGTGGAGCTGGGTTGGAAGGTCTGTAGTCCAACCTCCTGTGCAAAGCAGCACCAGCTAGGAGGTCAGACCAGGCTGCTCAGGCTGTTTACCCAGTGTGATTTTGAAAACCTTCAAGGATGGAGAATGCACAGCATTTCTGGGCAACCTGTTCCAGTGCTTGACTGGTCTCATGGGGAAAAAGCTTCTCCTCTTATCCGGTCAGAACCTCTCCTTTTTCAATTTATGACTGTCACCTTTCATTCCCCTGCCATGTGCTGTTGTAAAGAGCCTGGCTTTGTGTTCTTGATAACCTTCTTGTATTAACTTGAAGCAGTAGTGTTGTTAGGTCCCCCTGAAGCCTGTTCTCTCCAGGCTAAACAAGCCCAGTTCTCTCAGCCTCACCTCTTGTCTCCTGGCAAGTGCTCTAGCACCTGACCATCTTGGTGGGCTTCTACTGAAACTTCAGTTTGTCAATATCTTTCTTGTATTGGGAAGCTCAAAACTGTGCACTATATTCTAGATGCAATGTAATGAGTGTTGAGTGCTGGATGTAATCCTTTCCCTCAATCTACTAGTTATATTCCAGTTAATATGGTCCAAGATGCCTTGAGTCTTCTTTGCTCCCAGAGTACCCTGCTAGCTCATGTTCAGTTTGCTCTCCATCAAGATCCCCAGGTCCTTTTCAGCACTGCTGTTCCCCAGGCAGTCTGCCCAGCCCGTATGCACCCACAAAAGCTGAAGGAGCTGGCTGATGTTATTGCAAGGCCACTCTTGATTATCTTTGAAAGGTCATGGTGATCTGTGGGGGTTCCCTGAGGATGAAAAGAAAGTAAACTTCTTCAGGAAGGGCAAGGAGGAGGATCCAGGAAAGTATCGGCTGGTCAGCCTCACCTCAATCCTTGGGAAGGTGATGGAGCAAAAATATCTGGAAATGGCTTCCAGGATTATTAAGGATAGGGAGTAGTCACCATGGATTCACATAGGGGAAATCATGCCTCACCAACCTGACAGCCTTCTACAGTGAGATGACTGGTTCAGTGGATGATGGGAGAGTAGCGGATGCTGTTTGCCTTGACTTTTCACACTGCCTCCCACAGCATCCTCATAGACAAACCAATGAAGTACGGACTAGGTAAGTAGACAACGAGGTGGAATGAAAACTAACTGAACTGCTCAGCTCAGAGGGTTGTGATTAGCAGCATGAAGTGCAGCTGAGGGCCAGTGTCCAGTGGTGCACCCTGGCGGGCAATCCTGGGACCAGTACTGTTTAATATCTTGATCTACGACCTGGACGATGCAACAGAGTGCACCCTCAAGTAAGTTTGCAGATGATACAAAATGGGGAGGACTGGAGTAATTGGTATAGCAAATGGTTGTGCTACCATTTGGAGGAACCTTGGCAGGCTGGAGAAGAGGGCCAACAGGAATCTCACGAAATTCAGCAAAGGGAAATGCAAAGTCCTGCACCTTGGGAGGAATAACTCCATGCACCAGTACAGGCTGGAAAGCAGCTTTGCAGAAAAGGACCTGGAAGTTTTGGTGGACAACAAGTTGAACTTGGGTAGCAATGCACCCTTGTGGCAAAGAAGGCCAACAGCATCCTGGGCTGTGCTAAGAAGAGCCTCAATATCAGGTGGATGAGGTGGTAATTCCCTTCTACTCAGTGAGATGACATCAGAAGTGCTGTGTCCAGTTCTTGTCTCCCCAGCATGAGAAAGACACTGACATACTGGAACAGGTCCTGCAAAGGATGACTAAGGGCTTGGAGCACCTGGTATAGGAGGAGAGGCTGAGAGAGCTGGAATTGCTTAGCCTGTAGAAGAGAAGGCCTGGGGGGATCTTATCATTGTGTATGAATACTCGAAGGGAAGAAGTAAAGAAGATGGAGCCAGACTTTTCTCAGTGGTGCCCAGTGAAACGTCAAGAGGCAATGGGCACAAGCTGAAATCCAGGAAATTCCATTTAAACATGGAACTTTTTTTACTCTAAGGGTGGTGATCGTACATTAGAACAGGTTGCCCAGGGAGGTTGTGGAGTCTGCATCCTCGGAAATATTCAAAACCTGACAACAACATTCTAAGCAACCTCCTCTAGCTGGCTCTGCTTTGTGCAAGAGGGTTGGGCTCCATGATCTCCAGAGGTGCTTTCCATCCTCAATGACTCTGTGATTCTGTGTTTATTTGTCTGAGCCCAATGCCAGCTCCTTTGTTGATAAGAGCTGTTGCACAAAAGTGAGGGCCTGCCCCTCCTTCCTTTGCAAGCTGCTTTTAAGCTGAAGCTCTCTTCTTGGGCCCTGCCTGTGGTACATCATAACTGTGTAGCAGTCATGACTGCACCCTGTCTCCTACCTTTTTGATTCTGACCCGGATTCAAACTTCCTCCAGACTTGGCTTCCAGGCTTAACAACTTGTTTCATCAGCAGACTTGTTGGGTGATCATTGGACTACAGCTCACCCTGATCACTGTCTCCAGAACTAATTCTATGCCTGACTTTTTGACTCAACCTCTTTATTCTTTGCTGGTAAGGTTAGTGCTCCTGTCTGCCTTTCTATCAACCTTGCCTTCCAGCCTACCTTCCTTTGTGGAACAGCCAGCTCTTGCTGCTCCCAGACACTAGGAACGTATAGAAAGAGGAAATTCACAATGGAAACTACTGTAAAATCTCAGACATCATGGATACTATCTCAAACGTACAAGAGAAAGGGAAACTGCCATTTAAATCCAATTAGAAAAAAATACGTATCTACCTTCGGTTCCATTAACGGATGTTGTTTGGAGTCTTTTTAGAACTTGCTGTGATGATATTGATGAGAAGTTCCTCTGGACCTTGTATAAATTAAGAAAAGAAATGGATTAGAAAGGAAACTACACGTTATAGGAAAAACAAACAAACAAACTGTCAATCCAAGCTGAGCCTTGAAGTCTTCTACTTCAAAACTTCACTCAAAGAATAAGAAATGGAAACAATATGCTTACCTTATTTTGTTTCCCAGAACACTCTGCTTCCTGTAGAGTAAAGTTGTTTTCACTTTTCATTTCATAGTTAAGAAAAGCTTGGATGGCTTCCTGAACCAGAATATCAACAGATAATACCTGAATATTGCAAACTAATACACAAAAATATAAAATCAGAGAACTGTAAAGTTTAAGCAGAGCAAACATATAGTGACATTATTACTGCAACTAAATTAACGACGGGAAGATAGCATAATTACAAAGTTCCTTTTGTTTGGGATTTTGATATAAATTGTTTCCACTGTTTCTTCTCTGTAACCATTGCACAATATACATCCATAATCACACAGCTACCTTGCTAGTCTTTTCTACCACAAATATCCTCAGAGAAGTCTGGCAGAAGCATTTCTTAAATTTTCAGGGAATGCAGAAGAAATAAAGCAAGGTAGCACAATGAATTATCACTACAATCACTTTCAGGTATTTTTGATTTTTGTTTTGGAAGATACTGAACAAAACATCTTGCAACCAGCCCCTGCAAAATACTGATGCATCTGAGGTTCCAGGATTAGTAATGCAGTGATTTGCATTGTAAATGTAGGTTTTAAAAGCAAATAAACTTTAATAATTTTTAAGAATTTTAGGGAAAAAAAATTCTCTACCTTTTTCAAGAAACTTTACACAGGTAGTTTTTCCACTAAAAAGTTTTCCCAAAATACATCCCTTGACAGGACATGGAGGAAACACAGGTGGTGAAGGTTTAGGTTTTGGAGGATAGAAAATCTCCATCAATCTACGAAGCACATGACCCAGTACGTTATTATTAAGAGGAGGTTTGTTTTCACCATTCTCTTCAGGTGGACACCATTCCCCTGTCATGCTCTGTATAAATGACAAATTACCAAATAATTTGTCAGTATGCCTTGTCTTTCATCTATTTAGATATATTTAATTATTTATAAACATATATCCAACAACCAAATTTGATTAAAACAAAATAATAAAATATTTTTATACCAAAGCTTTGTTAAATGCTATAGTAATGTCATATTCATTAAACATTAATTAATATTCACTAATACCTACCTGAAGGAGACAAGTACTCTTGCACCTTTTTTTAATTCCATAAACACAAAAAGTCATTTCACCAATACCACAGAACAAATCAGAGCAAATTTTTTGAATAGAAGTACGCTATCCCAACATCCACTGTTCTAAGAACTGGACAACATTAATTCCTAGTATCACATATAAATTTCTAAAAGTTTTGTGAATAAAGATTTCAGATAAATATGTCTTTTTAATATGCACTTAATAACCAAAAAATATATATAATTTCAGGAGTTTTCATGGGAGGGAAATTCTGTCTGGAAACCTCATGTATATCTACACTGAGATCAACACAAATTGCTCAGTGGTGTGAGTTACCAGAATACAACCTAATGAGGTTTTGCTAGTAAAATTACTCTTACTGACGATTGCATTAGGTGAAAGACGAGAATAGAAGGATGTAGTCAGAATAAATAAACAGAAAATTGTGGTTTTGCTGCTATAATCTACCTGATACCAGTAATGTATCTCATAATAGCAGTAAAGCGTGGAAAAGTATATGCGCAGTTGCTTCTATGAGAAACTAAAAGAGGATATTTTAGTAAGCCAGAATAATACTAGCTTTGTTTTATTCACTGTTTGATGGCAGGCTAGTAAACAGCTGTTTGAAAGACACATGGGCTAGTAATATCCCTGATTAGACTCTGGCTTGTCACCTCATTTGGAGGTGCACAATGAAGGGATGAGAAGCAAAGTTAAAATGTTTCAGCAAGGGAAACTCCAACTAGATCTGAGGGAAAAAAAGTGCACAATGAGGGTGGTTACGCACGAGAACAGGTTGCCTTGAGAGGCTGTGGAGTCTCCATCCTTGGAAATATTCAAAAGTTACTAGACAAGGCTCTGAACAACTTGATCCAACTCCAAAGTTATCTCTGCTTTGAGCAAAGAGGTTGAGCAAAGAAGCTGAACTAAGTGACCTTCCTGTCCCTTTCAACCTAATATTTTTTATGATTTTATAAATTAGATACTTCATTACTATCAGCAGCAGCATCCAGTTCCTTTCTAAGTACGACTGAAAGACAATGTTTTAAGTTTACACTCCAGGTAGAATATACAATTTTTTTCTGACATTATTATAAATGACATATTGCCATAGCATACATTCCACTAACAGAATGTGATCAGTCTTTACTTTGAATATATGTGCATTAGTCAGAGTAACACTATGTAACTTATGACCACTATAAATGAAAATGTTACCTATCTTTAATCAATATAAACTAAACAATCTGCACAGTATCCTCTGTCTAATATATCTGAGAGAAGTACTTCTTAATATGTAATGGAAAAGATACACTTAAAAAAACTAAATCTTTGTCCTATTTAAACCTCCTTCTTTAAACATATGAGAAGAGACATATGAGAAACATATGAGACCAGCTGTTTTGAATTCTATCAGAAACGCAGTAAAAGTGAATTACAAACGGGATGGGTTCTCCACTCCGAGTACTCACCTTTCAAATTTCTGGTCTTTTAAATCAGAAGCTTACTATATCTCTCTTGAGCTACCTCATCTGTCAGAAACAAGTTTTCAGATATCCAGGCTAGAGTTATACAACTCCTGGTCAACACCGAATCTCAACTGGAAATTACTTCATATTTTGTGCACTGCCTATTGCTATGCTTGCTCTGGGTGATTTCATTAATTCATTAAGTGATTAGCCACAGCTACCACATGATGATGTGGTAGTTTCCAAATATTTCCATGCTCAGTCTAATGTGGAATGTGCAATAGACTGATAGCACTTCATTTTGTTCTTGTATTTTATTAAATACGTTTCCTTTAGTCAGTATTCTTCATGTAAGCTTAGCGTTCTTGAGAGATGCCAAATTGCGTGCTCTGAACTCTGTTTTCCAGGGTTAAGAACATCAGCATGACCTTTATCAGAATGCCCAGCCAGTACACCTACCTATAGAAGCAACACTTTAAAAGCATTAACTGTTCACTTAGCTTTTCAGGTGGCATAGGTATAAATGGGTGTCAACAGTTTTGCACGTCATATATCAGCTTTTGATGAATACTGATTAAGAAAGGGATAAAACTAACATCATCTGGAAAAAATTAATTATATGACTGTGCATTTGACACAGATTGGTACTGGAAGAGAGGCTTTAAAGGTGTCATAAGTTAAACGCTTGGCACCTTTAGTGCCCTTTTACATCTAGAGAAGACTATGCAGACTTTATAATATAAACAATCATATTACTGAAAAACTTGATTTTTTCACTAGTGTTCCACAGTGACTGTTTTCTCCCTGTCTGTCTTTCATATTTGCTTTTGTTCATCTAAAGAGAGTGATCTGGAAATTCATCATATGAGTTGATACGGTCTGAATAAAGATCTTGTAATTAACTTTATTGAGAAAAACAAATGTTAAGACTGAAACCAAAGTCAATTGAGCTGTCAGGCATTCACCACAGAAACTCCTAACAAAAGTTTATACTCACTGCAAAAGAAAATGTACCAATTGGCTCAGGATGTGGGTAAAAGCACATATATTGTGGTCATCATTTCCCAAACAAGTCAAAGACAGACAGATTATTTGCAATGATTTTGCCATAGTATAGTTAAACAGATTATCTGAAACACTGAAAACATAATAGACATTTTTTTCAAAGAAAACCATCAGTAATGCTGTAATTTGGAAAATATAGAATATTTTTTTATTCTAACAAGGGAACATTCATCCTTCAATTTTCACTTGTAAAACTACATAATATATTGTAAAGTTGCAGAAAACTATTAAGGCACACTGAAAATAAGTTACTTGGATTCTAACAAAAGGTTAACAAAAATATCAGCCATTCTTAACTTTCAAAAAGTATTATAATCTTAAAACAAATGTATAATCCAAATCGACAGATTCTATTAGAAAGCTTTAATTCAAAATTGCTGAAAATCAAGAAAAATATCAGATTTGTAACACATACATAGCGTATTCATTTTTACTTTCCTTTACTGGCTACTTCCTGCTACACTTACAAATGTGATAGCACTAACTACACTTTAAAATTCCAGTCATCTAAAAATATTTGCATTGCAATTTACATGCTAGTCCTACGAACTCAGGAGAGAAATATAGTCAGTCTTATATACAAACATGAAATTAAAAACGTGTTTCAAAATTGCACAGACTCTGCAATGCTGCTGACAGAAAATATAACCATATGTATTTCATATAGAACCTCATGTACTGACATGAAAATGTATGTCAAATCCTGGTATCATAAACTATTAAAAGAACAAAATGTATTGTAACATCACAACAAAATGTTTACGACTATGAAAAATGAAGATGTATTTTCTTCCATTATGTTATGTCAATTTGATGTACCTTGTATTCACCATAATCTTTCTCATCTAACAGATTCATTTTATCCAGCTCTACAAGTTGTTCTGGGCTTGGTTCATTTGGCATAGGCTGAATTGAAGCTTGTTCATATATTGGTTTTCCGTTTAAAAAAAATTCTTTCCAATCACACATCAGTTTGAAAGGAATTTTGCTGCAGAAGAAAAAACAAACAATGAGTTTGAAAACAAAATTAAATAAGTTAGTATCTGAGAATACTGGACCTGAATTTACAACAGTTATAGCCCTGAAATAAGCATATGATAAACTAAATATATTTTATCATGCTTTCCATAATGATTATAGCTTTTTAGAGGGGAAACGGTGGTAGTCAGTGTCCTTGACTTCTTATACGGCAGCAGTAGAGACTTGTAAGCATCAGTATCTTCACAAATCTGTCATCATACAGCATCTGGTTGGCAGAGCTGTGCAGTAACAGTTTTGCTATAGTTATCTTTCCCTGCTCCAAAATATTCTCTTTTGTGGGGAAAGGCCTCCCTCACTAAAAATGTGTACAGTTTTTTCCTAGAAGCTAAAATTAATTCACAGTTTTATGAATAATTCAGCTCATTTTTTTCTTTTAGAAAGAAAAAGTATTCATATGAAACACGATAAACTACATACAGTAACTAAATTATTTTTATTGCTAAAGGCAAACAGGACACTGACATGTCACATCTTAGAATTCTATGGCTGCTAAATAAACCAGATAAATACAAGCAGCTTAAATTTGACAAATGTTCACAACTGAGAAGAGTTCTACTATTTTTTAAGGTTACATCAATTTGGGTTTTCTTTCTTCAAGTAATGATCGTAGATAGTTGAGTGTTATGCTTGAAATCAGCTCTACATGTGCTGTTTTGAAAAATATGAAATACACATTGTATGCATCTCACACAATGAAATGCATGGAAAAACTGACAAAGCATACCTGCAGTAGCAGTGAATGCTGATACAATCTTGATACAAATGTTTGAAATATCTTTGAAACATGCATATAAATCACGCACCACTCAGTGCAAGCAAATGTGACACTAGCTTATACTGGAACCATGTCTGTGTTAAACAAGGAAATCACCACTAAACAGTGTCTAGCCTATTTTATCAGGTAGCTACTAGGTCTAAATTTATGTAATTTAAAACTTTATTCTTTTAACATACAATTACAATAAAAGGTAACAAAGACCCCATAGTCTAATCATTGAATACTTTATGAAAGAACAGCAGCAACGGAGACCCCAAAAGCCCCACTCTGTGGTTGTGGAAATGCTCCTGCAGCACAGGTGCATAGAGGTTGCTGCCCGTTTCAGACCAGAAATTCTGATGCAATGGGGCATGTCTGAGGAAGGAATCACAGCATGTTGTACTCTGGGGATTTTAGGCAGAGTTGCTACCCTTAAGATATATTAACCTGTCTGGGCTCTCCTAGGAAATCCTTTCAGGCTGCGTATATTACACAGCAGAAACATTCAGCTTGTGGAGCAGCCTAGAATGAGATGAGCACCACTCAGTTTTCAGCTTTTATGCTAAGCAATTTCTTCACATAAAAGGAAGTCAGTAGTTCCACAAGTAGCAGAACCAGTGAAACTTGGTTTCCTAAAGACTCAAGTTAGCTGAGTTATCAAGAAATTATACTAAGGCAGTAGCCTTGGTTCATGGTATTACATATCAGTGAGTCCTCATAGGTATGCAATATCATGATTTTTCCACACTAAGTAATTGAAGTTTTCCTGTAAGATATCTGAGAATCCACATGAGATGTTACCGGTACTTAAAATAGTCTGAATAATAAATCTTTTCCACTGACAGCAGTTTATGTGAAGGCTTTTTCCCATGTGAATTCTTTGATGTCTTTTAAGGAATGAAATCATGTGCATAATTTTCCTTCACTGGAGGTATTAACAGAGAAACTCTGCCTGACCACCTATGCGAACAAAACTGGGCATGTATGAAACTGGTATCTATTGCTCATATTAGGTTAAAATTGGGTTCAAAATTTGCACGAGAGGGGATACTGATTATAAGAGATATTTGTGAAAATACATGCAAACATGGTTGGTGTAATAACTGTATATTTACTCATTATTATAATAATTTCTCAAAAGTTTTTTGACAGATAAGGAGAAAAAGGAGATAAAGGAGGCAAATGAAGGATGAGACAGCAGTAAGAATCCAAAACATTTCAATACCTAATGAAATGTTTTCTACATCAACGTTTTCTCTTTCAGGTACTTCTAAATTTTTTCTTTCTCTTTGCCTCTTAGTTTCGCCTAACATCTACCAAACTTACTTGTTGGTCAGCATTCGATATTCTCCTACTTTTGTTGACAAATCAACAATTTGGTCGATCACTTCCCAACAGATAGAATAATGCTTTTTATAACGAGCCTGAGCTCTTCCAGCAGCAATTTTCTCATGACGTTCTCTTTCTTGGATAATTTGCTCCTCATAATCAATCTTTTCTTGTTTGGCAAGAGCCTAGAATTTTTTCAAAGAGTAAACTTGAGATTGCAAAGAAAATGAAAGTGTAGAAATGTACAATCCAGGACAAGAAAATGAATTTGCTCATTTAAGTCAAGAAGTGAAAACAGTTATACATTTCATCTCACCAGAGTTAGATAACCAGCAGACAGATTAACACACAGAGAAATCTAAACATTTCTATTCATTCTGTAAGTTCCAGTTTCTTTTCTAACTGGTATTATATAAAGAAATAAAGGAGAAATATATTACTTCTTTCATGGCAAACAGATTAAGAATGTATTCAGTGGTTGGAGGACAGAGAAACATGAAATGATCCTGTTTACTATTCCTGAGGAACAGCCATACGGATGCATTGGGTAAAGACTTGGCTCTATTGATATCTATGACAGGATCCTCATTTAGAGTACGTGACAAGCAATTTAACATGTCAGATTCTGATCTGCAAATAATTTAAGATGACTGATGCCATCTGATCTTTGAGAAAGACTTCTGGGCATGGAAGATAGTTATCTGTCATGCCGTGCTCCTTTTGGCCAGAAAGCATATTTGGAAGATATGTTGTAACCAATAGCTATAGCTGCTGATTACATAGAACTCCAGCTGGGCTGAAGGATGTGGAGCTGTTAATTTTATCTGGCAGGAGCAAAGACAGCCACCGTAGCAGTATAGCCTGTTGTGGGTATAGAACTTGGCAGTTTGCCACAGGATTATGAATTCTTTTAGTTTATTAATCAGCCTCCGTAGCTCCTAGGTAGAAATTAGCACTCAGGAGTGAAACTCCTTATGACCAGAATTTGTCAAGAATGGATATTAACAGGTTACATCTAAAGGAAATGAAAGACATGATTCTTAAGATTAGGTATTCTGTCATTTTCTCCTGACATTTTTTCTCAGGAGGACTTTGCCTTTTAATCTCAGCATACAGAAACGTTTCCACAAAAAGTTAAATTAATTTGGAAGAAAAGATCAAAATTAGATGTTAAGCTGCTCAGTTTCATCATTTATTAACTTAGCTGTAACTTTGAACCTTACAGTTAAAAGCAATACGTTCATTGTTAGATCACTCTGTCCCTAGGAAAAAACCTATGTTTTAACAATTGACAATATAAATTCCACAGAGCATTTTATAACAGGTAGGTACTGCAACAGTCCTCAACTCAGGGAGTAAATAATGTTTTACCGCTTCTCTGTCAAGAGCTTCCTGGAACTCTTTCAGTCTTCTTTCTTCATATTGTTTTTCTCTGAAAATTCTGTTTTGCCGTAACACCTCTTTTTCATGTCGAACATGCATGAGTTGAACAGCAATTCTCCGCTCCTGCTGAGATTGTCTCATTAGTCTGTAAATAAGTTGCTCCTCCCGGTAAGCCTCCTAAAGGATAAAAAGTTATTAGTATTAAATACAGCTTATAAACTATTTCATAGAAAACTAATAATTACCTCATATGAGATATATGAATAGAGAACAGCATTTACTTGCATATTTGATCCATTAATCTGAAAACCCATTTCTATGTATGAGGACTGTCACTTCTGTAAACTATACAAGAAATGTAAAACTATAGTGAATTCTATGTGTCTTAATTGACGTACTCAGTAAAAATGCATTTGTTCAGATTAACTTGATTTTAACTTGATAAATCCTATGTGCGAAGAAACTGTACCGTATTTCAAATAATCTCATCGGGATGTAAAAACATATCCCTTCCTTGAATCAATAACCAGTCATATTTTCCCTTACCCATCCCTGCTCTCTGCCAATCCCCATTCTCAGCTGTACTCTGTTGGATCCTTGTTCAGTCTATTCTTCTACAGATTTGATTTTTTTCCATCTTTCTTGGGATTTAGGTAATTTTCTCCTTCATTCTGGAGACTGGGGATATTGGTGAGCACTCAGAACAGAGGAAAATACAAGACTTGCAGCTTTACATTTCAGTGTTCTCACTGGGATATGCTATGACATATGGAACCCCATACCTGATATGAAAGTCATTTTTAACCATTTGCTTGAAGTGTGGTCAATGCGGACGGACACTTTGAAGGCTGTAGACTGTTACTTTTCAAAGTACTTGACAAGTCATAATAGTATCTCCTCATTGCTCTACCTCTTTCATATGTTCCTTATTCTTTTCCTCTGTTCTTGGCTATCTAATGTAAACTTTAAAGTTTAACCTAAGGTTTCTTCCATTTCTTTTGTGGTCCAGAACTGCTTCTGATTTCTGAGTGAAAGCATCAGCTTGCCATTGAAGCCCCACTGCCAAACATCATTCCTACAGCAGATTTTTAAAGGACATTTCTGCTTCCCTAGACATTTGTTCCAGATATGGAAAAACCGCTATGAAATATAAAATTTAAATACCTACATTAGGAACTAATTTGAAGAGTTGAAATTCCTTCTCCTAAGAACAGCGGACAAGGGTAAAGCACTGTGAGTATTAGTTTGAAAGAAAAAACAAAACAAAACAAAGCATCACTTCTTTATATTATCTTTTAATCTGGTTCATTCATCTATCTATGACTGAGAGAGGGCAGAACATATTTTGTAAATTTACCTATAAGTGAAAACTTAAGCTTTATTACATATTATTGTGAAAGAAACAATTAACTCTTAAAAAGAGCTCTAACTGTGTGCCAGTGCCAAATAACACAACCGAGATATCTGTAATAGCCTTCTGACACAAAGCAGCAAAATATGGCTATTTTAATTGCCATAATATGAATGACAGCTTCTAATAAATTTAGATCTTTAATGTTGGTGTTAGGGAGATAAGTCAGTATCTCTCACACAAAACTCTTTCCACATTTTTAAGTTCTTTTGCCTTTACAACTTCTAGGAATAAAGTACATTCCAAATAAATACTGGTGACCTGAAAAGACTAAGTGGTATAAACATACCTCCACATTTTCATTTATTCTTTTTAGTCAAAAGGTGAGCATCTGTGCTTTGCACTCCTCTTTCCCAACACTGTATCTTGTGACAGTGCAAGATGGCACTGAGGAACCTACACCTTTCCACAGTGCTCGTTTAAATGTGGGGCCTTGCTGAAAGCCATATATTTGCTCTGTGCCTCCCTCCAACTCTATGATTCTGGATGCATGATGCAGCTGGTCATTTACCTAATCAGCTGCATATGATGGAGATCAAGCACACCCAAGATATGGTGCTGTGCTAGGAATGTGTAAAATCTAGGAGCTTCTTTATATTTTGATATTCCTGCTATATGCCATTCATGTGATATAGTTCAGGCGATAACATTTTCTAATAGCAGGACCTACTGAAGAATTAATCTATCTGTTTGTCCTTTACATTCATGAAGTCAAGGCAATAGGAGGAGACATGATGCCTGTTGCTGCCTCAGTTCTATCTACTGCCACCTTTTTGGACTCAGTATTTCATAAAGATTTCAAAGAAGAATAGAAAATGCACAGACTTTGCTTCCTACTATAAGTAAATAACCTTCATTGTTTTCCTTAGTTTCACCTGCTCATCCCCATTCAGGGATTAGTACAGCAAGCAATATGCCACTAGAGGAAGACGGAGCTTTAAATTCTAATTTAAAGAGGATCAAAAGAGTCTCCTTAACAAATTGGTCATCTGTCATACTTAAACCATCAACTGTATGGCATAAAGTAGATGGCCCAGTGAGAATTGAAAGCACCTCATTTAGGTGAACACGCTCTTTATAAAGGAGATAGGAAGATGGTCCTGTAAAGCAATTCAGAGCACTGAAGGGAGATATTTACTTTGATTGATTGGGAGGGGATCTGGATAATTAAATATTTTGACATACTGAGGAGGCCTAAAAAGAGCCAGCAGGAAATTTTTGAGGAACAGGAATATCTGAACAGACAATTAACTCAGAGCTGCACAATAGATAAATTAGGATTCAGAACAGCAAATTCCTCATTTAAAAATGGGTGCCTATTGGGTGGAGGAGGGAGCATTGGTAGTAGTATTTCATACAAACAGGAATGGTCAAAGTACTGAAACTTCTGTAGGCTGATTAGAGTTTGGAACCTTCTGGGCCTACTAAGAGATATGATAAAAATGATAGCTTCATTTTTTGACGTATCACCTTACATTAACTTCTCCTTCTCAAAGGATTGTGCAGTGCCTGAAGAAGTCATAAACATCATAAATGAGACATCTTAGTAATCATTTAAAAATTAGTATTGAGAAAGTACAATACACATTTTTTTCAGTTTACCTATCTGAGACAACAGTGGCATCCAGTGGCCAAACATTATTGTCATGTTTATGTTTCATGATGTACATATATCATAGGTATGCCTGGATTTCTATTTCCTTGTTTAATTTAAATATCAATGGAGCAATGCTGTCCTGTTGTATAGTCATAAGACGTATGACCAAAACTTATAGCTTAGCATATAAAAATCTATTTGGGTGGCAGGCAATAACGTAGTAATAACAATTAATTTCCCCTCCCATATCTATCTTCACAGTATACTGCTGACAGTAACTTCCTCATGTCTTCTTAAATTCAAAGAGATAAAATCTAAACAGAGTGTTTAAAAATAACAAGTACTTATTAAAAACAGTTTGTCAAAACAGTGCAGATCAAAGATTCAGCTAGGATTAAATCGCGTTACTGTCAAATGCTTCCAACTGCTGCCTGTGCAAATCTGACTGGCATCACCCTATGCTCCGGAGAGAGGAGTGGCACGTTATTTTAAAGCATTTTTGCTCTCAGGCCCTGACTTGTACTACAGTCTGCAGTGTGCCATGCGTGGACATGAGACACAGAAAAGCACTCTGAAGGGATGGAGTCCATCTGAACTGACTGTGTAGATGATTCCACAGCCTGTGTCTAAGTTTTATACAGTGTGGGTAAAAGTTTGTCCCTTGACTAACAAGAAAGCCACAATTTCATCTAACAAATCTTTTCTGCTTCAATGGAGGGAGAAACTAATTTTCAGCTACTTTGTGTACTTTTAATCTGTTTTGAAAAAAGAAAGCATCTCCATTTAATTCTCACTTCTCTAACTCAAGCAACATCTAGTTTCTAAACTCTCACAGAATTCCAACTGGCCATGTGTTCCCCAGCTAATTCAGAAGCATTTAGCACCAAATAGATTCTCTGATCTGGTCAAGCTACTGTTCCAGTCAACTGATTACTTGTCTTTTCTTCCAGTCCCTGCAGCTTGTGGCTTTTATTTTCCCTATATCAATGCTGAAAGTTTTCACAGGAGGTGAGGGACCCTGTTGTTATATTCGCTTCTCTTTGGAGCCTCACTCGAGCCGGTCTCATTGGTAGCACATCCCAGCATCTCCTTCATCTCAAACCGGCAAGGTCCATACTACAACTGTAGGCACAGTGGCTGCCTGCCTCCCGGACAGCACTGGCTGGCTTGGCTTACTTAAAGGTGCACCCATGGGTGCTGATGCTGATAGCCATGGCTCTCTGAACTACCAGTCCAGGCTGCTGGGGCTGCAACTGAAGTGCATGGTTTTCACACAACTGGGCGGTCGAACTTCTTCATGGTCTGTGCATATCAACAAGCACATTATCCAGGTACTCTGTCTCCAAGCCCTCACTCAAGGAGGTTTTGGATAGATGGGAGTCTTGGTCTGAGCTACTACAGCTGTTCTTACTTTTTCATATAATACAGGTCTGGGAGAAACACTGATCTAGTTCCTATGTGCCCTACCCCAACAAACTTGCAATTTGTTCTTAACAACTTCAAAAACCTCTCTGGACAACACATGCCAATGCTTTAAAAATATGTTATATAATTTCAATTTTATACTTTTCTGTTAGAGATGCAACACATTTTAAGTGCCAGGGACAGCAGGGGAGACAGCAATCAACTGTACTGGGATCAGTGCATCTGATCTAAGCTAAGGACCCACAATGTCACACTAAGATAAAAGATACTGAGAAATCACAGAAACCAAGAAAGGTTCTGTTTAATGCCATTAGCACTACAGAGAGAAAGAGGTGTGAAGTCAGTGCTTGTGAATAAGGAGTGTCTCAGGAGGAATCTCAAAAGCCTTATGCTTTTCAAGACAAGACAGAATTGAAATGTAATAATTTGTAACATCAATTTTTGGACACAACAGAGCCATGCTCCCAGGATACATCTTCTATCCCATAACACATCAAAAACCAAAGCTCCCACCTGCAATAGGAAGGATTTTGCTTCTTCATACCACTCTGCACAAACCATTTCAGAATTCATCTAATCTACATCTAACACTATGTTACCCATTTGCAAATACAGTTTAATATCACATTTAATAATATTTAAGTAGTACCTTCTTCAGATCAAGTATACATTTCAATAGTTTAAAGTTAATTTTTTTTTATACTTTTAGGGAAAATTAGAAGGCAGGTCTTCAGCTGATTTTAAACATGTTAGCTCTTCTGCCTTTAAGTGAACCTTTATTATTTATAAGGATGAAGTATAACACTAAGGTGGCAAGAAATAATGGACAACCGTATTTTTCAAGGAAATACAACGGCTAGCATAAAAGCAGTTTTCAGAGATAAAGTGCATATGCTTTCCTTTTCCCCCTTCAAATTTTATTCCACCCTCCAAAAACCATGTTGTTTAATCATTGTAAGTAAATATTTAGATTACTACTTGTGCACGGGCTTTGTATGTCAGCATACATTTTCTTACCTCTTGTGCTTCATGTGCTATTAACTGTTCCATTAGCATTTTTCGCCGTCTCTTTTCTCGTTGCTCTCTAGCAAATGTATCTTCCTCCAAACGTTTTTGGATTTTCCTAATATATTCATCATCTGAATAAATATTTAACAGTTCAGTAGTCTGTGCTGTAGTTTCTAGGGTTGTTGTACGCGACCTCTGTGTTTGCAATGATTTTTCTATATCACTGGCCAAAAAGATTAAATAACAACAGAACACTCACTCACTTTACAGAAATGATAGTTCTTAGAGGTGTTTTCATACAGATGTAATGATATGTAAGTTTGACAAATATATAGTGGAATTACATTGGCCAGCACTCTTTGTGGATACTGTGGCTATGTTCTTGATGTCCGTGTGCCCCATAATCACCATTTAGTCCTGAGGAGGTCCCCAGTACTGCCTGGAGCCAACTGTCAATCATTTCAGTTGTCAATATTTAATATCACAGAAACAGAACTCTGTAGAAGCAGAAAATTAGGATGGCTTGCAGAATATCAAAGAAAGATACGTTACTCTTCAAAATGCCCATTCTCTCAGAGCACACTTTTGCCAAGTTATTAATCGGAGGTTTTTTCTTGCAGAAGTATCCATAAGAGTATGCTACAGGTGCCATGTCTCCTGAATATGATAAACACATCACTAAAGGGGGCAGAACGGCTATTACTTGTAAGTATCCACAAATGAATCAACATACAGGCAACATCACTCAAAGGAGAAAGACAGGTTGCCCTTACTTCTATCTGAAATGTGTTACTCTGTATACACATCCATAACCACTCTCCTCCCTCAGCAGGTCAAATGACCTTACAAATCCAATGTCTGAAATGAACTGGGAAGAAGAGATGAGCTTTGTTTCCTTTATTGCTGCATGTGCGGCAAAAAGGAGAGCAAGGTGGTTTAGCCATCCCTGCTACAATTACAGATAAGATAGAGAAACTGTAACACTGCTGGAGCTGGAATACTTGCAGTGCAAGTGGGCATACAGAAAATCGCTCAAAGGGGAATCAGAGTTTAAGCTCAGCAAGACATCACATTTTCTCCAAGTAGTATATATAGTACATACACAGTGGGCAGCTGGGATAGGATCCTGTCTAAGCTTAACAATCTAATATCCAAATATTACCTGTCAGTGACTTGGCTCCTGAGTACTGCTGTGGTATTTTCTGTCATAGACTTCTCAAACTTTTTAATTTCCTTGTATGTGTCCTGAAGAAATAATACAAAATTTAATGTTTCTTTTCCCTGCACAAAATATCATAAACAGGTTCAACTATCTATTTACAGAGTAAGTATTAGGTAAAGATTTTTATGCCATGTTAGTGCAACAGAAAAGGCTGCACTGAAAATATATTAAAATATATATTATACACCAGGACAAAAGGTGAGATTCTTTTCTTCTCTTGCCTTTCATTTCCTTGCATTTCCCCCTTTTTCTAGCTATAACTACATTTACCAGACAGAAAATCCTAACTTTTTGCAGGTGTCTGTTCTGCAGGATGATTTTGATTGTATATGGGACTCTAGTGGTTTATTCAATTCCTATCATTGAGGAATTCTGAAACAAAATATTCTAGGCCATGTTCTGCTTTAGATTTAGTAGCTTGATAATTACAGTGATAATTACTCAGGCAGTTACCATCCTACACGCTATGTGGAATGCATCTGATTGGGTTGTACAGTGCTAAAAACTGGTAATATTTGGAGCCCTAATGACAGCATGATCTAAAATCTGTAAGGTTATCCTCCAAGTACTCCTCAGCACTAAATAACATAGAATATATTTTTCGGATTGATACATTGCCACCATCTCTTGATCTGACCAGGGACAATGACCAATTTCAAATCTCAGTAATATTTTTGATATAGCAGACCTTTTTAAAGTATGCTGCAGAAGAGCTCATACATTATTGTGCAAAAGTACATCATTCACAAATGACAAGGGAAAATTAATGCTTTGATTCCTGATGTATTCTAGTCAGTAGACTAGAAGCTAAAATATTATCAGCAATTAAATTAGTATCCAATCCTACATTATTTATTAAGAACTTTCTCTTACCTCAAAGAAAATTTTCTGTATGTAATAAATGCAGAATTACACTGCAGTTTATTGACATTTTGCCCAGTTTTCACTGCTTGAGTCCACTATATAATTTCAATAGTTATTTCAGGCACTTCTGGTTGGTGCATGCTCAATATTTTTAACTGTAAAAGCTCCCAGCACACTATATGTTTTCACATAAGTTCACATAATTAACATTAAAAGAACACAGATGACAGTTACCTCTGCTTCTTTTTTCTTCTTTAGCAATTTTTTGGCTTCAATAGCTTTTATTGTGTGGTTTGGTGGTGGCTTTGGAATCTGTATAACAGCTGCTTGAATTCTAGCCATTATTTCATTTTGTCTCCTTCTTCCTATGCGATGCTGAATATTTAACATCATGTGTTCAGATACTTGAGTTGAAACAAAATAATATTACTCTAATACACTACCAATTTCTCTATAGGAGTAAATGTAATTAATTGATAAGGAAAAAAAAACCTTCTAAGAAGAAAGTAAAAGAACAAATCAAACTTGAGGCATGAGCAAATGACATTTTTTAAAAGTGGATCATTAAAATACCATGAAAGCAAAGAATCCTTTATGTTTTGTCCGCAGTTAAATCTTATCCTAAGAATATTCTCAGTCACTATACATATAAATTAATATTTTTATATCAAGGAATTGAAGTTGTAAAATATATTTTAAATTAAACTATTACTCTATGTTCTGAGTAATTTGACAGCTCTGCAATATGCTACCACATGTTCTCAATATTTGAGGATGAAGACATATTTTTCAAGTGTCAATATCAGAAAACGGTGCCTCTATATAGGCTACGTCTGCATTAATAAATAGTGCAGTGCAATAGAATCAGATCTGTAGTGAAAAACCAGTTTGTCCTCTAAGCCCAGGATGCATTTAAGGGATTGTATTAAATGCTAGCTCTAGTCTGGTAGCTATTTCAGGTCACAAGTCAACACAGAAACTCAGGAACAGGCACAACATTAGGCAATGCTGCTGCTGAACGTTGAGTTTCAGATGATTAAGAAGTAGTAGACATCTAAATGACACCATTAAATGACACTGCACTAGATATATATATATATGTAGCTAAAGGGTGGAGTTGAGTAGAAAAAAAGGCTTTTCTACAAAGAGTCAAAGAAAACTAAAAAATAAATAAATATATAATTTGTGGAATAGATTTAAAAATATTTTGAAAGTGTTTTGGATATTGCTTATATTTTCTTCTCTAGGCACACAAAGGTACATTTTATTTATTCTTGTTCTTACAGCGGCTATAAGAAAAGCTTAACAGCAGCAATATTCTTTAGCCTATAAATCGTTCCCCTTAATTAGCTATCCAAAATGTTACTCAAATTGGTCAACTTCATTTTCATCATAATTCAGCACCCTTTGGCTAAGTGGCCAGCTCATGTACATAAAAAAATACAGGGCTGTATTTTGGATGTGTGTTACCTCATTCTGAGAAATTAGTTCCTCTTTAACTTTATCAGAGCAACTACACAGAGCTACTGTAGGTACCCCTTTTCTTCAGTCTGAGCAATGCTTCATCTTTTCTTCACAAATGAAGAACGTCACAAACCTCCTTCACAAGAACACTAAACCACACACAGTTATGAAAGTGCAATTTGTCTTCAAATCTATCAAGGGTTTTCATGCATGACAATATGCAAACACTTAAAGTCAAGGATGTGATTTTTAAATATTGTTTTAAAGTGTCTTATGTACACTATATACCTTAATGCTTGCCAAGAGTATTCTTTTTTGTTTTTCTATAAACATGTGATTGTGTAGCACAGAGTTAACAAGCACTCACACTGGCTGTAAGTTATTACGTAACTGAACTTAAGAACATACTTCTTCAGAAGTCTCTTTATAGAGAGTAAAAGGTCACCTTTTCAATGTCTTGGGCTCTCTGTTCCTCTTGGAGCTTTTGAGCTTTCTGTTGTTCTGCAATATGCATACGAGCTATTTTATTTTCTATTGCCTTAGATTTCATTTCAAAACGCTCTGAAACCTGCTGCAGCTGCAAGTCAGTCTGACGTGGCATTAAATTTTTCAGACGCTAAAATTAAATGTTAAGACAATCAAGAGTCAGAAACACTAAGAAACATTATATTTAAATAAGATAATTTTGTAATAGACATTTGAAACTGTTTTTCTGTGTTAATGTACATAGAATAACACCTAAACAGGGTGGAATAATTTTCAGAAAAAAGGATCAGTTCTATTGAAATCAACGTGCAGAATTCAAGTTAAACAATGTCAAATTCAAATACAGGAGATTTATCTTGAATATAAGAAAAAAGCTTTTTCACTGTGAGGGTGAATAAACAGTTTGTGGAGAGCAGCTGCAATCTCCATCTGTAAAAATATTCAAAAATCAGACTGGACAAGGTCCTGAACAATCTCCCCTAGTTTACCCTGCTTTGACAAGGGGGGCCGGACTAATGAGCTCCAGAGGTCTCTTCCAACCTCAGCTATTCTGTGATTCAAATGGCATTCGGAACGCATCTATTGACAGGAGTTATTGTCAATTGCTCCAACTGCTTTAAGCTATCCATAGATGCATAAAGGGTTGTTTTGACTGATTCGTCCTGCTCCTGCACGTGTTAATAAACTTTGTTTGTAGACTATATGCCAGGATGAGTGCCAGAAAAAATGAGAAACTTCACCTAGCTGAGTTTGTTTCATGATGTATAGCTTTGTAAAGAACGCTCACCTGGATAACAAATTACGATCTATACATGCTGAACATTATCATTGAAGACAAGAAGAATGTTCTTAACATACATAGATATCATCTTCATTTTTTTCCGCTCTTTGCTTTATATGCCTATGTTGCAGGCTGCAGCATAATGTAAAGATATGGAGAGATATGTAATAGAAGGAATCAAACCACTGGGGGAATCAAACCACTGGGCACAAAGCTCAATGCAGACTAGTCTGTTTCCCCTACAGGAAACTTATTTACCTAGCTCATTACCTAGATTGCAATGCAATCTGCAATCTGTACTGATTAAAGGAGTAAAACAGCAGCTGCTGAGCAACTACTAGCTGTTCTTGCTACACATTGTAAAGCTGGAGGAAGCTTACAAACAGAGTAGGTAACACAGAATGAGCCAAAGCAAAAGAATACGAAAGACAGATACTCATTATCCTCGTGCGTCACAGATAAGCCATATAACCTCTGTGTTCATCTCCAACATATAGTAAAAGACTGCATCTTTTCCATATAGGTATTGTGTTTAGAACAGAAGATTAAAAAAAAAAAGTGTGTGGAGGGGAGGCATGCAAACTGCTTAAGAGCAGATACCTTTCTTTCTATATATATATATTTACATAAAATAGAAACACTTCATTACCTCTCTATATAAAACACTTTCAATAGACTTGAGCTTTGCAGGTGCTGCAGGTCTCATAGCTTCCATGGCTACTCCAGTGAGCTTTGCCTTCCTCTTTTTTTCTAAAGCAATATACAATTGATATAAAAGCTTTGTTGCAGCCCCATGCTGCCCTGTCATGATGTCTTGGGCCACATTCTCATTAAATTGTACACCAAGGAGTTGAAGTGTCGGCTCCAGGCGAGAAAAATTGTTAAGTTTTGCATTTGCAACCCTATATGATTAAAAAACAAAACAAACATATTCAAGCCCAATTTTCTGCAAGAAGCATGGTCAAGACATTCATCTCACAACAAGACAAGTGGTGATGGGGGGAGGGATTTTCTTCAAGTGATGTGATACACCCTTTGACTTCGGTTGTATACAGTAGCACATGTAACTGGTTTGTCTACTAAGACAAACTTTTAAGAAAAAAAAGAGGTCAGATTGGATTATATATTATATATCTTGATGCATACACACAAACAGTGCATCTGATAGCAAAAGGTAGCCTCCAAGTACAGCTAAAAGTAAGAGTATACCATCCACTAAAAATATGAATCAGACCAAAGTTTCTGAATCAACCCAACTGAGCTCTTATCAGCCAAAATATAGGAAATTTTAAAAAGAGACTATCTAGCATACTAACCCTCACAAAACCTCATCATATTTTTTCCCCCCAATAAAAAGAAATTCAGTCATAGTAGATGTTGACAACAAAGCAGGCTATGATTCAAAACTGAAATAGTCAATGTAAATTAATGCTTCACTTGATATGTGGATTTTTCTGTGGAAATACTCTAGGTCAGTAGATATATAGGCCCCAAAAGAATAAGTTATTCTTACGTTATGATTAACACATTATTACATTTCATCCAACAAATCCATAACTTCTGGCTGAGTCAGAACATCATGCTTTCCATATATACTCTAACATCTGACTTCACAATAGTTTCTTTACAGGAATGAACAAGCTTTGAAATCATCTGAGCTATAGCATAATTCTAAAAAAATGCCCAATTTTAACTTAAGATCTTGTAACTCAGAACTCACTTTACTCCTAGATGAAACATTCTAGTAGCTCATTATTCTCACTGTAACAGTCCAAGCCTTATTTTTACATTTTACTTAAATGCAGCTTACATCATTTTACACAACATTTTTTCAGCCTTTGATTCAAGTTTAAGGTGATCCCTGTTGTCAGAAATCATCTTGCACAGATTTAGAAGCTGTGATGATATCACCTCTTAACTTTTTATTCTGCAATCAAATCAGATTGAGTTTATTGAACCTGCCTCATAATGTTCTAAATCTCATTTCAAGATCATTCTCAGAGTTTAGAAAAAACACCAATATTTCATTTTTCAAATATGGACAGTGGAACAGGAATAAGTTTTCTAGTAACAATCTTTTTAAAAAGGTAATATCACTTCCTCGATTATTATTCCCTTGTTTATGCGTCCAAGGACTGTGAAACATAAGCAGCTAATATGCTTAGGTAGAGCTTGACCGGCTGTTCAGGATATCCCCTCTTCCTTTTCAGTTAGTGCCTTCCAGATTACAGCTGCCCTTTCTATAAAGAAAATCTACATTTTACCCCCTCACTCCAAGAGGTATGATCTTGCCCTGGGCAACATTAAAGAGACATCAGTTTACCAAATGATCCATGTATAATATACTTTTCCTTAATAGCACATCACAAATTTTAAAGTATTATTTTATAGACATTAAGTAAGATTAGACAAGCACAGGTTCTTCCAGGAATAACTCCAAAAACACCATATAGTGACTATTACACAGCAATAACTGCTTTTAATATTCAGGAACAAGATACTGGAGTTGAGGAAACATTGCCTCAATTCTCAATAGTGGCCAAAAGATCAAACAATACCAGTAATTACTAAAGGAAATAATTGAGAAAACAGAAGACATCACCATGCCTTTATGAATTCATAGTGTAGCATAGTAAAGAACAGCATATCCTATCTGTCTGTCTGTCTCTCTCACCATAACAAGATGCAGTCTAAGAGAAAAACCCTCCCCTCCCTGCCCCCAGAAGAAAAGCAACAAGGAATGATGAAAAGCACAGAACATCCTCCGTAAGAGAAACAATGCCTTATGCCTTCCCAAATGCACAGTCCAAATGTATTTCAGATATTTGAGGAGGGATACAAGAAAATTTTAATAAATCATGAATGACACAGAAACAATGAACAGCAAAGTGTTATTCAGCTGTTCCTCATAACATAAGAGCAAGGGGTTATCAACTCAAACTATCATGTGGCAGATTCAAAGCATAAAAAAATAATATTTCATATGACTCAATTATCTTGAGACAAGATTTTTCTGCAGGTTACTATACATGGTAGATAGTACAGTGTTCTGGAATTAAAAATAGGACTATTAAATATGAAAATATTAACTTTGGCTTAGAAGTACATAGCCAGAAGGAGAGAAGGCACTCTTGGAAGCATCGCTATATACATATTCTTCCACAAGCATCTGCCACTAATCACTGTCCTTTTTGATTTCACTGAGATTCCCTAAAAACATTTTCAATAGCCTCCCCACTTTCCAAGAAGAAGGGGCAGAAAGAGAGCTGAGGAAAAACAAATGATCACAATCAACAACAAATACAGCATCCCTAACAACAAGCCAGCAGATTCTCCCTTGCAGCGCTCTCTGGAGACGTAGCGGGATGAAAGAAAAGAAATAAGTTTCATAATTGCTAGAAACATCCTCTTCTGCCCCAGCAAAGCAGAGCAACATGCACTCTAGGCCCAACAGTTATATAGGCCTCTCCTTGCACCTGCTGAAAGGATGCTTGACCTTACCTAATCAGGATTCAGCTGGAAACAAAAGCTCAAAGCGCCTTCTTATCAGGAATAGCTGACAGAGATCATCAGAAGTTGCTACAGCATGTTAGAGGTAAAAACCTCCTAAAGCTATCCTTTCCCAGCAGCAGCAGAAACTCTGAATTTGCTCAGAGTTCCCAGAAGTCCACCAATGATCCCAGAAGTTCCCAAGAGATCTAGAAGGTCTAGAAGTAAAGCCCAGAAACTACCGTGCAAACTGCTGTGTCTGTTGGCTGCTTCTATTAGCTGTACTCAAGCTCCTACAAGCTGGGTGGGCTTGGATATGAAGGAGTTTAAATACAAGATGAGAAGTGCAGAGAACATCAAAAAGAGGCCATACAGCCTGGCACGCTTGATATATATTGTGCACCAAGGACTATCTTTTGCCAAAATGGAGTATAAGTCAGGGAACGCTGCGAAGTGCGTCATGAACGTACCAATGTCACCAGATCAGTAGAGGATTTTTCAGTTCTCCAGGTTTTTCCCCCTTCACTGTGGATATACCAGCTTTATTTGTAAACTTACAAAATTCTTATATAGTCTTCCTATACAGAGCCTCACAATGCATTGCCACCAATTTCATTTTAGAGATGCCGCAATGGTCACCACCCCACTAGACCTCAGCATTCCATGTACCTCATTGGGGCAGTGACAATATCTCCAGTCTTGCAGACATCCTGAAGGGCTTGTTGGGCTTTGGTCTAGCATGCTGCTGTCTTCTTAGCTACAATCAAAATGTGTAATTTTCTGGAAATCGTATGATCAAACCCTCTGGAAACACGAAGCTAATCAGTGCACTTAAAACAACTAACTTTTGACTTTTGGTAACTGCATCAAATCATGAAAAACTGTAGATGCCTTTCCTACTCTGCATTAACAAATCCTAACTGAACGATAAACGTTTTGTCCGATTTCTGTAAGAGACTTCTTATCCATGTACACTAACCTGCTCTGTGAAAATTGATTAAAGTCATCCTGAAGCTCATACTTATGCAGAAGTTCTCCTAGGAGGTAGCCAGTAGAAAATTCTTCTGATAATGATCCTGGAACTAAGTTGGTTTTGGATTTTTTTTAAAAAAAAGATAATTAATAGAATTCATACATTAATCTTAATACAACTCATTATTATTTTTATAATGACATTTGTAAATTAAGTCTAAACTTTGCTAAATACTTTAAAATAATTTTAGAATGCGAATATAATGGAAATGAGTTTTCAAGTTGCAAAGAAATTTGCTTTAAGTGTACTTATTTTGCGACCTGAGGTTTAGTTAGTCATTTAATTTTCACCTTCAGTGTTATAAAGTAAACACCACCACAATTGTCATTAAGACAGTGGGAACAACTATATTTCATAATTACTAAATCTTCTGTAAAAATGCAGATAAGCAAAACAAACACAGGAGATCTAAAGTGCTACTGCCTCCTTGATGAAAGAATGCTTCTCCAAAGCCAAAACTAGGCTTGCCATTCAAAACAAAGCACTGCTTTGCAAACATACTCAAATATTTTTATTCTCTGGGACTCTTATTAGCAGGTGAAGGCCGAGCTCCTCACGTCTCCTGAGCCCACTTGCGCCCAGAGGAAAATTATCACCATCTTCACCTCGAAAATCACTATCTTGAACTTGAAGATGAAAAATCTATCTAGACGCGAGAAAACGGGCGAGTTCATTTGCAGACCAGCCGGAATTAGCCCCGAGCCCCCCGCGGCGGGATGGTGGCCCGAGCCG